TCTGAATACTTCTTGCCAGTCTCTTCTTGACTGAAAAGTTTCTTTTGAGAAATCAGCTGATAGTCTTATGGAAACTCCTTTGTAGGTAACTCTCTGCCTTTCTCCTGCTGCTTTTAAGATTCTCTCTTTATCTTTAAGCTTTGGCATTTTAATTAAAATGTGTCTTGGTGTGGACCACTTTGGGTCCAACTTGTTTGGGACTCTCTGTGCTTCCTGGACTTGTATGTCTATTTCCTTTGCCAAATTAGGAAACTTCTCATTCATTACCTTTCCTAATAAGTTTTCAATTTCTTGCTTTTCCTCTTCTACTTCTGGCATCCCTGTGATTTGGATGTTGGCCCCTTTGGAGATGTCCAAGAGTCTTCTTATTCTCTCCTTGTTTTTTTGAATTCTTGTTTCTTCATTTTGTTCTGCTTGATTGTTTATTCCGTCCTTATGTTCCAAATTGTTGATGTGAAGCCCAGCTTCCATCCCTTCACTGTTGATTTTCTGTGGGTTTTTCTATATTTCACTTAGTATAGCCTTCATTTCTTCCCTTATGCTTTTGTTGTATTCAATGAGATCTTTGAGCATTCTGATCACCAGTGTTTTGAACTCTGCATCTGATAGGTTGGCTCTCTCCTTATCACTTAGTTATTTTTCTGGGGTTCTGTTCTGTTCCTTCATTTGGGCCATTTTTCTTTGTCTCCTCATTTGGCAACCTCCCTGTGTCTGTGTACTAGGTAGAGCTACTTCGATTTCCTGTCTTATCATACCTATTAAGTTGTATTGGGCTGAGCCTTGAATATTCACCAGGACAGGGTGATCTGCTTTGCTTTGTGGCCCCATTTGTGTGGAAGAGGTCGAAGAGAAGCCGATGCTGCTGCTGGCTGAATTCTGGGGGCTTGTCTGGCACTTGTCCCTTTTCCAGTTACTTCACCCACTTCCGATGTGTGACCGGCGCCTCTCCAGCTGCTGTCTTGGTTGTGGTCCCCAGAGTGGGTGGCTTTGTGTACCTTCTGGGTTCTCCTAAGAAACCAGCAGTTTCTTCTGCTACCCCCACCCCTACTGGGTTTACAGCCAGAAGTTATGAGGCTTTATTTTTCCCAGCATCAGAGCCCTTGGCTGTGCCTGGGGCTGGGATTGCTTGCTCACAAGGTGTCTCTCTGATTTTTATCCACCACATATGAAGGTGGGACTGCCAGTTCCGTTGGCTACTGCTGCATAGTACCCCCTACCCCGCCACTTGCTTCCAATACACCATGTCCTCTCTTACCAGACTCTATGTCTCTGCCCCTCCTACCTACCTGGATGAATACAGCATCTTTAAATCCTTGGTTGTTGGACTTCTTTACAGTTCTAGGTGTTTTTCTGGGTGATTTTCTGGCAGTCCTGGGTGTCTTTCACTTTTAAATTAGTTGTGTTCCTTCCTATGGTTGTGCAATGAGGCGAAGCGTGTGTACCTATGCCTCTATCTTGACCAGAACCCCAGGGATCAGTTTTCTTTTGCCTGAAGATTACTTTCTATAGTTTCTTTTTGTGCACATCTACTGGTGATAAGTTTCTTCAGTTTTTGTTTATCTCAAAATGTCCTTTAAAATGTCTTCTTTTGCTCTAGCTGGTGTGACTCAATGGATTGAGCACCAGCCTGTACACCAAAGGGTTGCTAGTTTGATTCTCAATCAGGGCACATGCCAGGGTTGCTGGCCAGGTCCCCAGTGGGGGCCTGCAAAAGACAACCACACAGTGATGTTTCTCTCCCACTTTTTCTCTCTCCTTTCCCCTGTCTAAATAAAATAAATAAATAAAAATCTTAAAAAAAAAAACAACTGAGCAAATACTTTTAAAAAATGCCTTCTTTTATAGTATAGTTTTACTGGACATATTATTGTACTTGGTTGTTATCTCATATATTACTTATGTCATTCTATTCTCTTTTAGCCTCTGTTGTTTCTGTTAAGAAGATAGCTGACAGTCTAGTTGTTGCTCCTTTGAAGGTGGGTCATTTTGAGACTTTCTTTTTGTGTTTATTTTTCAGCAGTTTTACTGTAATGTTCCTGGAGATTTATTTCTTTTATTTATGTTGCTTAGGATTAATAAGTCTTTATTTATTTGTAATTCGTTGTCTTCCATGAATTTAGGAAAGTTATAGTCATTATTTTTTCAAATTTTGCTTTGCCTCATGTTTGTTTCCTTTTCTTCCGGGACTTTGATCACACATATATTAACCATTCTCCTTGTGTCCTTTGTATCCAATTAATTATATATTGCTGCATAACAAATTACTCCCAAACTTAGCTGTGATTTATTATATCACAGTTTCTGTGGGTCAAATCAGGAATCTGGGAGCACCTTATTTGGGTGGTTCTGGCCAGGGTCTTTCATGAGGTTGCTCTTAACCTCTCAGCCAGGCCTGAAGTTATTTGAAGGCTGGAGGGTCTCCTTCCATGCTTACTCACATGGTTGTTGGCAGATCTTAGTTACTCGCTGACTGCTCCTCATCACCTGGGCTGCTCCACAGGGCCACCTGAGTGTCTCCCTGACATGGCAGTTAGCTTCCCCCAGAGTGAGTGCTATGAAGCAGAGCATATACCCAAAACAGAAGCTACGTGTATTTTATAACCCAATCTCAGAAGCCACATACCATTTCTTCTGCAGTATTCTGTTGGTCACACAGGCCAACTCTGGTATAATTTGGGAGGGGACTACTCAAGGTTGTGAATACCAGGAAGGGGTATTCCTAGGGGCTGTTTTGAAGATATACCACAATCTCTTTTACCTTCTTTTGTATTTTTTCTACCCTTTTGACTCTTCATGCTTCATTTTAAGTTATTTTGGGGAGTGGGAGTGTTTTTATGTTCATGTACCTGCTATATTTTTTAAAGATTTTATTTATTTACTTTTAGAGAGAGGGGAAGGGAGGGAGGAAGAGAGTGAAAGAAACACTAGCGTGCGAGACATACATTGATCAGTTGCCTCTCACATGCCCCCACCTGGGGACCTGGCTCACAACCCAGGCATGTGCCCTGACTGAACTGGGGATCTTTTGGTTTGCAGGCCGGAAATCAATCCACTGAGCCACATCAGCTGGGACCACGTGTTATTTTTTATTGTATACCAAACATTACATTTGAAGAATTGTGTGTAGATGTCATCTGAGGCCTAGGATGACATCATCTTCCATCAGAGAAGATTTACATTTGTTCCTGCCAGGTGTCTAAAAGCACTGGCTATTTAGGTCACATTGGGGAGGGCTGATTTGAGTCCAAGCTCTTTTGTACCCCTTGTAAAAACTTGTCTAAGTATAGTTCATCCTTGCTCCTGGGGTGCAGCCCTTCAGGGTCCCAACTCAAAGAAAAGATGCATTCAACAGACATCACCCCACACCAGGGGGTTCACCCTGAATTCCAATGCCTATCATTTCAGCATCAAGAGCAACATTCAGCTCTCAGCCACCCAGCCTTGAATTGGCCACTCTGTGGGCCTCCGTCACCTCCTACCTCCTGCCTCATGAGTCTTCACTATCTTGTTAGCTTTCGGAAGCCTTTAAACACATGCTTTCAGAATTTGGTCCTGTTTTTCTAATTATTATCACCAAGAAGGGGGTCAGAGTTACCCAATTTGCCATTACCAGAAGCCTTGTCATTAATTTTTAAGATAACAAAAAAAGTTAAAATAGTAAATGTTTCATAACCATGAGAGGCTTATATTGGTTATAATTGTTCAACCAAGCAATGGGTACCTAAAGGTAATAGAAAGTAGTCATTGATTCTGGATCTAGCCTGTGTAAGTTCTGTTTTTCCTCTAAACATTATTTTGGTCATGGACTTTGAAGCTGGTTTGATAAACTTCATGGCTATATTATAGTCTGTGATGTGAACAGTGTACTTTTGATTATACCTCTGTGGTTTGGTTCCTCCATATGCCTTTCATTGAATACATTGCCAACTGACCACCACCTTCTGTTTTTACACTTTCTTCACGGCTTGGCAATGGCATGTTCACATGATAATGAGCTCCTTGCCAGTGAGAATCACTGGGCCTAGCACAATTTTTGGAATATTAGGCACTCACAAATGGTTTCATTGAATTAGTGCCAATATTTTAAGCAGATACCCCAAGAAGAGGGTCAGGTATGAGGCGTGCATAGTAAGTTCAAATTCACAATGGATGATGTCTGAGTGAGGCTGCCTAAAAAGCATGTCTATGCTGGTCTAAAGCACAGGACTGGGGCTCGGCTGGGGATGTGGTCACTTGGGAGACACCAGCAAACAGAAGATAATGGGAGTCAGGGTACTGAATGAGATCATGTAGGGACAGTGTGCGTAGAATGAGAAGGACAGGGGGCTGATGTTTCAGCTCTGAGGAACACTAGAATCTAGTGAGCTAGATGAAGAACTACTATGGGAGCCTGAAAAGAAGTGTTAGTGACAGGGAAGAGGCAGAGGAGGGGGGAAGCCATAGAATAAACCAAGGAAGGCTGGAGTATGACAGAGGGAAAAGTCAGCATTATGAAATGATGCAGAGAAGCAAGAAAAGTAGAAGTGTAAATCAGGAGTAGCTTCAGCCAGGATGAGTGCACTGAGAAAGGGCTTAGGAGAGCAGACTCTAGGCCACAGGAAGGAAGCATCCAGACTGTGGCTGCCCACTCGACACCCTGGGTAGCCATGGATGTGTGCTACTCACTCCCCCAGGAAGCACAGGGGGAAGTGGGGGAGGAGGTTGGGTGTGTGTGTGTGGACAGCCAATGGCTTTGGGGGTCCACTGAGTTTTGGGTGCCTGTGGGACATTCAAGAGGTGATGTTAAATAAGCAGCTCAAATTTGTGATCTGAACTCAGAGATGAGGTTTAGGATAGAAGTCACTGATAAACCTGATACATGGAATTTTCAAAGATTAAGACCATTCCAGTTGCCTTTCCCCAGCCCTCTGTATTTTAGTGCACCCCTCTTCCCACCCCATCTACCCCACAACTACCCCATCCCCAGGGTGGTGCCTCCCTTGTCCCAGGTCACGACCTACCTTGCCCAAGTCAGAGCTAATGCTGAGGCCCTTGACAAAGGCATCCCCAGAGGTGACAGGCTGTTCCCTAGTCAGTAATTTAAAAATGGGACTTTTTCCCAGCTCCATTGAAGCCAAGAAGGCCAAAGCATTCCTCTGCCTGGACAGTGAAGGAGATCTTATTCACAGCCAGTGGGGACACCTTCTTGTCGTAGACCTGAGATGCCCAAGACAGAAGATGCACAGTGAGGAATTCCAAGCTCAGGAGTCTAAAGCCACCTGTGTTCGTCGCACACAGTTCTGGGACAGGTCCAAGCTGTTCTTGGGGCCCAGGGGCTTGGATATATGGAAGCCTGGACCTGACTGCTCCCCCAGTTACTGCCCCCAGCACAGTTAATGAGGTTTTCTCTCCCCCTCTGTCCCTGCAAACTGAGAACCTAATTCTCTAAGATAAGCCTCTTCTGTCCTTGAAGCAAACAAAACTGTAATGTTAACTGCAATTAACTATAGAGAAACAAAAAAATAGGACGAACGAACTTTGGGAAAATGTCACAAAGTTCCTGGATATTTGAAGGTCTGTCAATAAGATTCCGGTTGGGGCTCTCAGGGAGGCCAACCAGGCTTGCCTGGAGCTTTCAGAGCCTCTCCCTGACCTCCACTGCTCCACAAACTGTCTTCTAGATCCAGGAGCAATTCATGCAGTCGTGTCCAACCTTTGAGGCTTCCTTGCTTTTTGGGGTTCCCGGCTCTGGTACTTCTCTCATCCCGGGGCCTCCTGTCTTACAGGGGGCCCCAAAAGAGAAACGAGGGCTGAGGTGCTAACCTTAGTCTTTGGATGCACAAATGAACTCAGATGTGATTCATTCACAGAGGAACCTCCTTCCCTCTAAGTCTGTCTCCACTAAAATTTGCTGGAGTCCCTTGACAGCATTCCCAGCTGGCAGGCCTGAAGCCCCCCGAGACTACTTCCTTATTCAAAAGGCCCATAAGAGTAATGCTCTTTGCTTTTTTAAGCTACATCTGACTTTACCTTCGACACTTCTTTAAGAACCAGTGGGTTTTCCTCACATCACTTTTCCAAATTAGTCTCGCTCTTTTTTGCGTCCTCTTCCACATCTTGGGCTCCAGGCACTAACACTATTCTTTGTGACACTGTTTTCCTGAGACAAAAATGGAGGGTGTAACTGCTTTTGCGAAGTTAGAAGGTAGAGATCAAGGGAACCACAGGCACTGGGTCTTCCCTAGGAAGGCCCTGAATATGTGCCCACTGACCGCAGTTTTTGCGCACGCGCCCACACCCACACACACCGCCACCCCTTCCCGAGGGCGACTACAAGTGTTCAAGACTGAACACAGATTGACATGACCACGACATGCTGGACATGGAAACTTAATGTGTCATTGGTTTTGAGGAAAATTATAAGATTCAGAGCCCGGGAAGGTCAAGGTATAACAAATCTCATTTTCTACAGAGTTTCCCTGGGGGGCCTTTGCCTCTGGAAGATATGCAGACCAAAAGCTGACAGAACAGACCTTTTTCCTCTCTGGGGAAGAGGTTTTAGAAAGGTGACTGATTTTAGGAATCTCAGGGTCTTTTTTCGATTCAACTGGTCAAGGTCAAAGGGGCTAAGCCAACCTTCTTTCTCCCTCTTCTGCCAGGTCACCAGGGGTCCAGGACATATAGGCTGTCACTTCACTGCCTTAAAGGTGGACTAGATGGTCTCCAGGCTCCCTTGGATGCTAAGAATCTAGGGTATTACAGACCACAGGAAGGATGCTATGCAGCAAACCCCGTGATGTGTCTTTAGTGAGTTATACTCTGACACACTCACTAATTTTTGTTTCCCGTAGAAGCTGGAAAACCTGACTTTCAGTTGCCACAAGACACGGGTATCAGTGAGGAAGAGCAGGAGGAGGCACACAGGTCCTGAGATGGCAAGTGCTGTCAGACGCTTCCCCGTTCCTAGAGACCCCCAGGCATACGTGTCCTTTTGAATCGTATACCCCTTTGCTAAAATAATAGAAACAGATCTTCTCAAATTTGAGGTGATTTTTCCAAGCTTTCCCACACCTTTTATATGTAGTAGGTAAATTTTTAGTATAAAATATATCATTTAAAAGAAGCATACTTGTCATCAATGCTATTACATCATCTCAGCAGATGATAAATATGAATATTTTTTTCCTTGCTGTAACCAATGTTCTATAAAAATAGTGCAGTAAAGTAAAAGACTTCTCCCTGCGCATGACAGTTATTTAAAATGAAAAAATTTACATGTTGGGTTCTTCTATCAGTCATTAATCACCCTGAAACTTCAACTGGCCACTCATGTAAAAACACTCAGGAGCTTCTAGCCCCCTCTTTTTAATCAGACAGGCTTTAATTTTTAAATTTTAAATACACATATTTTATTTTATTTTTAAATTATATTTTATCGATTATGCTATTACAGTGTCCCTGATTTTCCCCCCATTGCCCTCCTCCACCCAGCACCCCCCTCTCCCTCAGGCAGTCCCCCCACCACTGTTCATGTCCTTGGGTCACGCATATAATTCCTTTGGCTGCTCCATGTCCTACACTGCACTTTACATCCCCATTGCCATTCTGTGACTACTGATTTGTACTTCTTAATCCCCTCACCTCTTCACCCATTCCCCCACACCCCCCTTCCATCTGGCAACCATCAAAACACTCTCCATATCCATGAATCTGTCTTTGTTCTTGTTTGCTTAGTAAGTTTTTTAGATTCAATTGTTGATGGATGTATGTTTATTGCCATTTTATTGTTCACAGTTTTGATCTTCTTTTTCTTAAATAAGTCCCTTGAACATTTCATATGATAATGGTTCGGTGACTATGAACTCCTTTAGTTTTTTCTTCTCTGGGAAGCTCTTTTTATGCCCTTTCATTCTAAATGACAGCTTTGCTGGGTAGAGCATTCTTGGCTGTAGGTCCCTGCTTTTCATGATTTTGAATATTTCTTGCCAATCTCTTCTAGCCTGCAAAGTTTCTTTTGAGAAATCAGCTGATAGTCTTACGGGAATTCCCCTGTAGATAACTAACTGCTTCTTTCTTTCTATTTTTAAGATTCTCTCTTTATTTTTAACCTTTGGCATTTAAATTATGATGTGTATTGGAATGGGCCTCTTTGCACTCACCTTGTTTGGATCTCTCTGTGCTTCCTGGACTTGAATGTCTATTTCCTTAATCAAATCATGGAATTTTCATTATTTTTTTCAAATAGATTTCCCATTTCTTGCTGTTTCTCATCTCCTTCTGGCACCCTTATGAGGCGAATGTTGGACCTGTTGAAGTTGCCTTAGAGGCTGCTTATACTACCCTCATTTTTTTATTCTTTTATTTTTTCTTGTTGTTCTGATTCGTTGTTTTTTGCCTCCTTACCCCCTCCTATCTGACAACGTTCCAAATCACTTATTTGATTCTTGGCTTCATCCATTCTACTGTTGTTTCCCTGTAAATTGTTCTTTATTTCAATTAGTGTATCCTTTATTTCTGACTGGATCTTTTTTATGCTGTTGAGGTCCTCTTTAAGTTCCTTGGGCATCCTTATAACCAGTGTTTTGAACTCCGCATCTGATAGATTGCTTATCTCTCTTTCATTTAGTTCTTTTTCTGGAGTTTTGATCTGTTTTTTCATTTGGGTCATGTTTGTTTGTCTCCTCATTTTGGCAGCCTCCCTGTGTTTGTTTCTATGTATTAGGTAGAGCTACTTTGACTCCATGTCTTAGCAATGTGGCCTAATATAGTAGGTGTACTGCAGGGTCCAGAAGCACAGCCTCCCCTATTGCCCAAGCTGGGTACTTGAGGTGTGCGCTTTGTGTGAGCTGAGTATACCCTCCTCTTATAGTTGAGCCTTGGTTGCTATTGGCAGATCAATGGGAGGGAATTACCCAGCCCAATCAGCTGCAAGGATTGCCTATGACCACTTATCGCCAACCTCCGCCCTCTGTGGAGGATCAGCTGTGCAGGGGAAGTGTGGTGGTGCTCCGGCATGGTCTGTAGCTGTCCACTGGGTGCGCTGGCCCTGGTGTTTCCTGGGTGGTGTAGGCCAGGTTAGCCTCCACCTGTATTTTGCCTGATGCCACCCTGCCGGACCTATAAAGCAATCTGAGATGGATGCTACTTGGGCTGGGCTTGCAGATTCCCAGGCAAAGCCAAACTGTGAATGTAGGCTGTCTGCTGCTAGTGCTGGACCTGGGGTAATTGAGGTCAGCTGTTGCTTTTTTGAGAGGATTTAGGAAGTTGCAAAGCAGGACCCAAAACCAGCAATTCGTATGGAAAAGCAGCTTGGGTGGGACCCTAGGTTGGGTGGGTCAGAGTCTCTGGGGATCTCAAAGGAGGGTCAAATAGTGTTAGACCAGTTGACAGAGTCTCAGATATGGCACCAGCCTACTGGCTCTTTGTGGGGAGGGTTCAGAAAAGGAACAACGACCCCTGCTCACCTCGATGCCAGACACTTCAGTTTCTACCCCTATGCCCCTGGTGCCTTTCAAGCTGCTACTCTGGTGCTGCTGCTGGAGCTGGAGCTCAGAAGGAGTGAGTCTGAACAGGTGAGCTTGTGTGTGGGTTCTTTAAGAGGAACTGCTTGGGGCTCCAGAATTTTCTTCCACCAACTCAATTCTTGCTGGTTTTTACAGCCAGAAGTTGTGGGGACTTAATCTTCCTGTCACTGGAACCCTGGTCTGGGGTCCTGGTGTGGGGCTGGAACTCCTTGCTCCCTAGATATCCCTCCCAAATTTTTATCCACCACATGTGGGTGAGAGACCAGCCTGTTCTGCATCTGTGCCCCTGCTACCAGTCTGGATGGATGTGGCTTCTTTAATTCCATAGTTGTCAGACTTCCATTCAACTTGATTTCTGATGGTTCTGAGTGGTGGTTGTTCTATATTTTAGTTGTAATTTTGATGGGGTTGTGTGAAGAGGCGGGCCATGTCGGCCTATGCCACCATCTTGACCAGAAGTAGCCAAATACATATATTTAAAAATTATGTAATAAATACATACTTACTGAGAAAAAGGAGACATGTATGAGGTAGAAAGTAAAGGTACTTCTTCATTCCCCAAAACTATTGGTACCGTTTAGTGTATAGCCCTTCCATACTTTCTAGATAAAATTTTAAAAAATATAGATGGAATGATACTATGCATTGTCTTTACCAATTTGCTTTTTTTAATCTAATAATATATAATGAACATTGATCATATCAGGACATACATATCAAAAGAGTAAAGATCTCTGGCAAAGGTAAGTACACAGACAATTATACAAGTAATATCATTTTCACTTTGGTTTAAAATGCCACTTTTTGTTTCCTACATGATTTAAGAAACTAACGTGAAAAACATTATTCATCTATGTTTCTGGACACGCAATACAAAAAGATGTATTATGACATCAATAATTGAAAGGGAGTGGGGATGGGGCTGTATAGGAGCAGTGTTTGTATGTTATTGAAGTTAAGCGGATATAAATTCAAATTAGAATTGTATAACTTGGAGTTGTTAATTATATACAGGGTCAGGCAGAATAAGGCCTGCTTGGGTGTGGCTGGTAGGTTAATAATATGGGTGTAATAATTTATAGTTTTAATTTGAGCATTTCACCTAAAATGTCATATGGTGTGCTTGAGTGTGATATCATTATGTTACAGAATTACATGCTTATGATTTTGTAATAAAAGATTTTATTAAAAAAAAGGGGGGGACACAATATATGTGCCAGATCCTGTGTAATCCCCATGATAACCACAAAGAAAATAGCTTTAGGATATACACAACAGGAAATGAGGAAGGAATGAAAACATTTCATATAAAGTAGCTGGAGCAGTCAAATTCATAGAGATAGGAAGCGGAACGGGCGGAACGGCAGTGGCCAGGGGCTAGAGAAATGAGGAGTTAGTATTTCATGGATACAAGGTTTCAGTTTTGCAAGATCAGAAAATTTCTGGAGATGGATGGTGGTGGTAGCTGTACTTAATACTACTAAACTGTACACTTAAAATGGTTAAAATGGAAAACTTTATATATGTGTATTTTACCACAATTTAAAAAATAATTTAAAAAGATGTTGAAGAAGATGTGGACAAATTGGGAACCCTCATATATTGCTGGTGGAATGTAAAATGGTATAGTTACTGTGAAAAACAGTCTGGTGGTTTTTCAAAAAGCTAAACACAGAATTACGATATTACCCAGCAACATGGATGAACCTTGAAAATATTATTCTGCACGAAAGAAGCCAGACATAAAGGACCACATATTGTATGATTCCATTTATGTGAAATGTCCAGAACAGGCCAATCTATAGAAACTAAACATTGATTATTGGTTGCCAGGGATAGGTAGGAGAAGGGAATGAGGGGTTGCTTTTAGGATAGAGTGCTTCTTTTGGGGGCAATAAAAATGTGCTGCCAGAAACATGGAGCAGACTGAAAGTGACCAGAGGGGATGGGGAAAGAAGACAATGGTGGAAAGAAGGGGAAGGGACTAGACAAAGAACATGTATGAATGACCCATGGACATGGACAACAGAGGGGGAACTGACTGTGGGAGTCGGGGGTGGGGTGGGATGGGTGGAGGGAGGTAAAGGGGTAAAAATTGAGACAACTGTAATAGAATAAAAATTATTTATAAATTTAAAAAAGAAAAAAGGAGAAAAATTAAACAATGATAAATTTTTTAAAACTGTGTGGAATTAGTTAGGGGTAATGGATGTACAAACTTATAAATATACCACTGAATTGTACACTTAAAATTTTTATTTTATTTATTTATTTAATCCTCACCCAAGGCTATATTTTTATTGATTTAAAATAAATAAGATTGAGAAGAGAGACAGAGAGAGAGAAACAAACATTGATATGAGAGAGAAATATGGATTGGCTGTCTCCCATATGTGCCCCGACCAGATTGAACTCACAACTTAGATATGTGCTCTGACTGGGGATTGAACCTTGAACTTTTTGGTGTATGGGATGATGCTCCAACCAACTGAACCACCCAGGCAGGGCTTATTTATTGATTTTAGAAAGAGGGAGAGGAAGGGAGGAAGGGAAGGGAGAGAGAAACATCAATTTGTTGTTCCTCTGCAGTCTTTGGTTGCTTCTTGTATGTGCCCTGACCAGAGACTGAACCCACAACTTTAGAATATTGACAACATTCTAACCAACTGAGCTATCTGGCCAAGGCTTTGAATTTTATACTTTAAAAGCGTAAATTTTACGTATATTATATCTTCATAAAAATGCAGTTAACAAATTCTATTTGCAATACTCACAAACTTGATCATACTCAGTCTGGTTTGGGTTCTTGGCAATGCAAAACTTTTGTAGTTTAAATTGTAATATAAGTTGGAGAAAGCCATCCCCAGGCAGTGGCCTGGCAGCAGTAGGAATGTGTGACCCAAGGACTCTGAGACTGTTGTGTAGCCTAGCTCTATGAGCGAAATAAAAAATACTAACTCTACTTACAGAAAGAAAAAGGCACATCCCTTAGTACCTCTCTAAACCCACTGTATCTGTTTTTTTCCCCTTATACATAAAGGATCTACTATTATCTATGTCTTTCACTATATCTATCACTGTATTGTCATATTCCCAGGCCTCAGACCAGATACCTAGTTTCCTCTGACTCCCTAATAAATGTGCTGCTAAGTGTGATCCTTCATAGCTTCACTGACAAAAAGGAGAAACAGAAGGATGGGATTGGAGCTCTAATTTCAGACTTCATGACAATTCACACAACCAACTCTAAGCCAGTAGGTAGTTCCAGGGAGAGAGCCCATGGACATAGGACTTAACAGAACCCAAGGGGAGAGACTGACCCAATTATAAAAAATGAACTTATTCTCTGGACTTGGGTTTAGAGCAGAACAACATTTGGGTACCAATCTGTGAAATTCCTGTCATGGAAGCCATTATTTAGGCAGTATTATTGATGAGTTGAACTTGGATATGAGGTATCCCAGCTAACATTTCTGGGGCCAAGACTCAGAAACTGCAGCAGAACCAGGGTCCACCCATGGGATATGAAGCACAATTTGGGATAGAACTCAAGTCGTGACATGCCACACCCTCCCTGAGATGCTGGCCCTAAGACCTGAGGGTTTGGCTCTGGTGACCAGACACTGAAGTGCATCCGAGGAGGTAGTACCTTAGTAGGAAAGCTGCAAGGGTGCCAGATATGACACAGGGGAAAAGGCACAGTGGCTTATGCCCTCCTAATTTTCTCTCTTTAGAATTCTAAATTTGGAAATCTACCCTGGAGTTTGAGGCAGAGGGGAGTGGAGAAGACTATTGGAATATCAGCTTTGGCAGCTCCTATGTGGGAAAGAGAGAAAGACTTAACTGCTAAACAAGGCTCAAGAATCCAGTGTAGGAACTAACAGTCAGCCATGGGATCCTCCGGACCAGCCCCTGCTCAGGGTCCCCTAAGCCCCTGAGAAAAGTGGCTGAAATCTGAGAGCAGACAACGCCTTCCCTGCCAGCTCACCCTGAGCAGAATCAGAGAATGTGTTCCAAACAATGTATCTAATTGAATGAATAGATATTCACAGCTCCTGTTTATTTCCCTTTTTTCTTTCTCACTGGATCCTAATCCAAAGTTGCTTAAAGACTGAAAAGAGGTCACAGACCATCAATATTTAGCCATCCAACTGAAGATGACTTTTCTTTGCCACACTCCTGGGTTGGATCCCCTTTTCTGATGGATGTGTCTTCTTTCTTGCTTTACTCCTGCACTTTGATGATTAACTTTACAAAACTGTGATGTGGTGGGTAAAATTTCTCTTTGCCTGTCTTTATTCTGCCCTTGAACATGATTAACAATTAAATTAAGTATAGAACTTGTCTTCGAGGAAGTGTCTGGTTTTACCAGTATACGTCTTTTTGCATTCCGTGTTGGACATTTGATGGATCCCTTCAACCTTGAGGTTTGTTTTTCTCAACTGTGGAAAATCTTCTTGTTTTATTTCTTTGGTAATTTCTCCAATTCCATTTCCTCTGTTTTCTCCTCCTGAAATGTTTATCAGTTGAATATAGTAGTATCTCCTGAACTTATTCTCATGCCACATGCCTTTTTTCTTACCTTCTCTATTTCTTCCATCTTTGCGCTCCACTTTCTGGGAATTGACTTTATTTTCCATCCCTTCTGCTAAATTTTATTTTGGCAATCATCTCTTTCCTGTTCTTAAAGTTTTTCTTCATAGAATATTGTTGTTAATATCTAAAAATCTTTGTTTTGTTTCCTGCATTTTCCTACCACTCTGGTTTATTTTGGTTGCTTTGTTTTGTCTCTGTCTTTTCTGTGGCTACTATCCTCAAATGTTTGGAGACTCTTGACTGTCTATTCACAGAAACAAATGAGGCAGCAGGAAGCTAATTGCTAGCTTTTTGTATGGCGGGCGGGGGAGGGGGGATGCGGGGCTACATTTTCAGGCCATTGGGCAGGAGACCAATCAGAATGTGTAGCTGTCTTTTGGGAACAGGTTCAGTGCATCAGGAGGAGGGATCTCTGACTGCAGTTGTAACTGTTTTATGTTCTATGCTTCGAGGTGGGGGAGTGGGAGCAGGGACAGCGGAGATGGCAGGCTGTTTTCAGCCCTGCCTTCACTTCCTTTCTCTGAGGTCCCAAGCCTCTTCGGGATTCTGTGTTGCTAAATTAAGTCCTTGCTCAGCCATTCCCGCCTCTAATTACACTTTAGATGCTTCTTTATTGCAAATTCATACATTTTTTATTTCTTTTTCTATCATTTTAGTAGGGTGTCAGGAAAAAGAGAGCTCAGATTTAGCTTTCATGTCTTGATTCTTTGTCTACTGACACGGTCAGAGCATGCTGGTGAGGTCTGTGGGGCATGTGCACAGGGGCCAAGCTTCAGCGTCTAGCAGTTTCCCTTCTCAGGAAGTAGGGATGGAGCCTACAAAGGCATCGCCATCCTTTTCCCTAGGCCAGAAGTGGAGCTTCTTGCCTTTTCCAGCCTCCCTCCTCTAAGACTCACCCAATTTCCACCTAGTTTTTAAGTTGGAAAGTGCCTCCTGCTCAGCAGAAGAAGAGCCGTGGTCCTCGTTACTGCTGCATAGGAAGGAAGACGAGAAATAGCATGACGTCCTCTAAGAAGAAACAGATCCCAGAAAGGCCAAGGGATCTAAAGAATATCCAGAGTTAAGCACCCACTACCTCGGTAATTTTCTCATAAAGCTCGGCCCCCATAAAGGCCCCTAAAGGTCCTTGGACTTTCTGTGCTTGTCCTTTAGGTGCGAGGTTGGACAACGGGAGAGGAGAAAGGGAGAAATCCTCGGGTTCTCTCCAGAGATCAGGGCCACATTTCCCAGTGCTTCCTAGGACCTCCTGTATCAGAATCACCAGGGATATGCCTTTTAGTGCAGATCAGTGAATCTTGGATGCAAACTATAGTTGAGAACTGCTGGTTAGGGTTCCCCTAGGACATGCCTGTGTTAATTCCCTTTCCTCTGCCTGCAGAGGAAATATTTATTTGTTCTATTTCAATGACAAAGTCAAAATGCTGTCACCTTTCTGATCCTCTCAGATGAAAATCATTCCACTCTGAAATTCCATAGGTGTATGCATGAGTGCTAGAAAGGGCACCACAAAACTCTGGGAATTGGACTACTAAAATAAATTCAAAATAGATAAGAATACATATATGTAAAGCTCTATAAGAGACAGAAGGACTCCCAAGAGAAAAGCAGGGGGAGCTGTTAACATATTTTAAGTAAAAAAAAGAAACAACCCCAAAACAACAAACCCAAAAGTCAATTTAAAGGAGCTGGTTAGCATAAAAGTAAATAAAGAAGAGCATTACAGAGGTTTATTCAACCCTGTTTATCCAACCCTGAGCCAGGGAGAGAGGGCGGCACAAACAAGAAAATGTTCGCTTTCAGGTGTGTGATGTGAATGATGGCTCCCTCTTCAGTTTCTTTTATCTAATTACACACTCACTAAGCAGTGTTCTCCCGAACTTAGCTTATTTATTTACTTATTACCTTTTTTGAAACTGAGGGATAATTTATTTCAGTGAAATGCATGATTATGAGTTGGCAATTGGATGAATTTTGACAAATATTTATACCTATGGAACCAACACCTTGAACAAGACACAGGACATTTCCATCACTCCGGTGTAAATATACAATAAATGGAGCCCCTTTAAAATGGAGTTGAGCTGCCATTCCAGAGGAACTGCCTTGCATGTCTAATGTCTCAAGCCTTTGGAATGTTAAAACAGGGCAAAGTAACCTTTAAACTGGGTCTAAAGCAACACTATGTCCCAAAGACCTATTTGTAAGGATAACAAGAAAGCAGATACTATGACTATGGGGCTGATGATTACCGGCTGAAAATTAAAAATATTATTTAGAATTAACATCACTATATTAGCTTATCTGCACCAACAGAAATGCCTCCCTTCTATTGGTGTAATTGTTTTCTTCCCTTTCCCATAAATACCCATTGCCTTTGTCTTCTAACCGGAACACTATTTGGGCTTCTGCCTGAATTGGTGCTTCCTGAATAGCTATTCTTTGGTCTCAAATAAATGTTTGTTGCTTCTCATTTCAGCCCTTTATTTTTGGGTTAACACCAGCAAGCTCCCTAAGGTCTCTCTTTAGTCAACCCCTCCCCCCAATTCTGAGCCGAGGGCTTTTCTTACCCTGTCGCCAGGATCACAGGGTGTGCCGTCTTCTGCTCAGCGCCATATTGCGGGAGGCATCCGCATTGCCCAAGCGGTAAGCAGCTATGTCCTTTTTGTTGCTGAGCACAATCACTGGGATGAGTACAACCGCCCTGATTATCCATTCTCCTGCAGATGCGTGTTTGGGATATGGTCAGTTTGGGGCTTTTCAGACGATCGCTGCTGAGAACAGCCTCCCCCAGGTCTCTGGCAGACATATGCTTTCGCAAGTACAGCTTCTGTGGCTGCTGGAGGAAGAATCAAAGGTCTGCGTCATGTGTAAATATGATGGTTCTCACCTTTTCCACTTGTGACTGAGACAAGAATAAAGGGTCCAGCGCTCAAGCACGTGAGCGCTATGACGAGCTTCACACACGCACTACCCGCGTTGTCAAAGCAGAAGCTGGTCAGGCAGACAAAGGAGATGACAGCCAAGCCGCAGAGCATGAGCACCAAGACAACAGCAGGGATGTTTTCCTGGTGTATAAAGGTTTCTTCACCGTAGTACAAAACACCACTTTCAGAAAAGGGTGGGGAGAATTAGAAAAAGACACTAAGTCAATCCTAAGCATTAGAGAAAAAAGCATGATAATAATCAAGTTTAAAAATGAGGTGTTAGTAATATGGCACAGGCAACTCTCTTCATCCCACAGTGTGGAGACAGCAGGCTCTGTCCCTGGAAATCAGGGGCTCAGAGACATTTACAACGCACCTATGCAGAACAAAGGAGGATGTGATCTATTCTGCACAAATGACCAAGGATCCATCAAGCTGCACCATTCAGTCACAATCAAATACTTGTACCCTCAATGTTCTAGGGAGTTCTTTATGAACTATAAACACATGTCCCCATGGCATTGCTCTCAGGCTCCTCTTCTGCCTTTTTCTGGGGGAATGCCTCCACGGAACCTGGAAGAAAGCAGAACATCTACCTGAGAGCCTCACACCCAGTGGGGCAGGAAGGACTTGCCATTGGTCTTCCTCCAACCCCTTCCCCTTTTGACTATCTCATCACCAACCCTCACCCACATCTGGAAGTGGGCACCTCCTGATATGGCCCTGCCCTCAATTCCAGCCAACCCTTTCGCCCACAGAGTCACCTCCTCCCTGAACTCCATGGCCCTGGGACCTCAGTAAGGTTTGACTGGAGCAGTAAAAACAAAAACCCCCAAAAGTCTCATCTAGTCCTCTTTTAAATTTCTTTCAGCTCTACCTACTCTCCTCCTTCCCCATGGACTATGCGGTCCTAATGGAGATCTTTGCCTTCTGTCTAGTCCCTTCAGTCTCTGCATGAGAGAACATGTTTTATCACATTGTGCCCCACTGAACAACTTCGAGTCCCACTGTCCTTGGGATAAAGCCAAACTCCTTCACATATCCTACAGTGCCCCATTACTATCCAAACTCAGCTTCTCATCTTCAAGTTCTAGCCATACTAAAGGACTCATGTTCCTCATGCCTGCAAATGCTCTTCTCAAGGTATGGAATCTCCTTCCCCTTCTATGAGTCAACTTCTATTCAGATTTCAGGCTCTTACTCTGAAGCCTCCTCAGGCCCTTCGTGACTGAGATATGTGTACGCGATCCCAGAGCACTTCAATCATCATCATTATTGTCAATTCACATTGCAACTACTGTCACTGATCCATATTCCCTCTGGGCTAGAAGCTCATTAAATGGCTGGCAATAACATTGTTCATCACTGTACTTCCAGCACACAGGGCCATATAAAATATCTGATTCATCTGGCATTCTGGAATCTTTAGTGCTGGGAAGGGCCTTCAATCACAGCAATGACAACAATGATAATCACACCACTGACTGAGTGCTGCCTGAGCAAAGCCATTGATAGATGTTCCCTTAGGGAATCCTTGTGATTTATTACTCTCTCCATTTACATGGAAGAAACCAAGGCTTGGAGAGGCAGGGCACTATGATGTAAGTAATGTAGTATGATGTTCCTTTTTTCTTGTACCATTTTGCTGCATCATGTTCTGTATTTGATTTCTTTATTACAAAACATAATTACTTAATTTTCTTATTCAAAAAAAGATTTTATTTATTTATTTTAGAGAGAGGGGAAGGGAGGAAGAAGGAGAGGGAGAAGAATATCAATGTGTAGTTGCCTCTTGCACACCCCACCCCCTACTGGAGACCTGACCTGCTACCTAGGCATGTGCCCTGACTGGGAATCTAACCAGCAACCCTTTGCTTCATAGTCTGGCACTCAACCCACTGAGACACACCAGCCAGGGTATAAAATTTTTATTTTTAATCAAAATTAAAGATGACTATAATTTTGAAAATCAAATAATTGTACAAGATTTAAAATGAGAAATGACAGTACCTTGGCCTGCCACTCACCATCCCCATGCTGCAACCACTTTCCAAATTTTTAGCTGCTGTTTTCTCGAGATTGCTAGATAGCACATTTATTTATTTAAAAATTTATTTATTTATTTTTTATATATTTTTAATTTTTATTTTTTATTGTGATTCAAGTATAGTCGTCTCCATTTCCCCCCCCAACCATTCCCCCACCCTTATTTATTTTTAGAAGGAGGGGAAGGGAGGGAGAAGGAGAGAAAGAGAAACACCGATGTGTGAGAGAAATATCTGTCAGTTTCCTCTCGCACACCCCCAGCCCGGAACCTGGCTTACAACCTAGGCCTGTGCCCCGACTAGGAATCGAACCAGTGACCTTTAAGTTTGCAAGCCAGTGCTCAATCCACTGAGCCATACCAGTCAGGGCAGCACATTTATCTATTGACAGCTTATTATGGAAGCAAGGATTTTGTTCTCTTATGACTATCCCTACCCCTCAGGCCTTCCCCTCCCCCTCCTCCCTCTAGAGTTATATCACCAATTTGGTTAAATTAAGAGTCAGTTTTGACATTCTTATGACTAAGTAAGTAGAAATTATACACAGCTGAGCCAAGTAGTATATTACAATGTTTCTTTTTTTTTTTTTTTTGTATAAGCTCCCTGTCCCCCCTCAGAGTTAATATCCTCTTTTTCTCATTTGCTTAGTTTTCTCAATATCTATCACCAAGTCACCCACAAACTCCCTTCATAGAAGTACAAATATTCTTTCAATACATTCAAACATATCAGATAATTTATCAGTTTCATTTTTGGACATGCTTTAGTCCCTAGAAAGACACAATTTTGTCCCGTCTCTAGGAACTCTCCCTATCCTGTCACTTGGGGTTTGAAAGATGTTTTTTCAGACTTCTGGTTGTTCAGTCTGATTTCAGGGAGTATCACATGGCTGAAAGATCATGGCTTCACTACAAGGAATCATAGGCCTGCTTCATCCCCTATTCTCCTGGGCCCAGTATTTACTCAGAACTTCCAGAAGAACCTGTTCCTCAGCCACAAGTATATCCATAAAATGTTCTGAAAGCTTAGGACCCATCCTGGAAGTCAGAGAAATGAAGAATGGAACAATAGTTTGGCCAAATGTTTTTAGAACTAATTTCAATGGGACATTTGCCATGCTTGTTCTGAAGCGGAGGGATGTGATGCTGACTACAGGGATCGCCAGAGGCACCCGGGTCTGTACTGACAGCATCATTATCCAGTTGTGCCAAGAATATGTAACCCTTTTCAGGAGCATGACATAAAACTTTTGGCAGAGAAGACTGAGCTACAATAAAAAAAGGGAGGCACACCATTAACAGATAGAAACTGACAGGCAGTTAAGTGGCCCCTGGCTCGTGTCCACCTGTATTCTCTCATAATTATCTAACATTTTGATTTTGTTCAAAATTGGCGTCAAGTTAAAATCCCTTGACCTAATAATTTCATTGACATTTAATGACAAAAAAAGGGCAAAGATTGGAAAGAGTCTGGAGAGTTGCTTAAACAGATACCAAATGTAAACATGCTACTTTTTTTTTTCTTTCTTTTTTCCTACCAGATTGGCAAAGATTTTAATTTGATGAGGATATGGGGAAAATACCACTGTTAAGGTTTTAATTTGGTACACGGAAACAAATTAGCTGAATGAATAAAATTTAATTTAATATTCACATAGTCCTCAACCCAGAAATTCTACTTCTAGTAAACAGGTATACTTGTCTAAGTATGCAAGACCCATGCACAAGATGTCCCTGTGCCACTGATGGGAAATGTATAATCATGTACACTGAGGTCCCAAGATCTAGAGTTGGGCCCGGGGGTCTCTAGGAGACCCTGGAGGTTAGCACCACATGCTTCTATTCAGCTTCTCTGTAGCATTGTATGGGCTGGGACAGGAAGGAGGTCCTTCAAGCCTCAGGTGCCAGTGTTCCTTGTGCATGAATTGTCTACCCAAGAGCCTTTGATGTCATCAGGTTTGAGTCAGACCTTCTCAAGTTCCTGGCCCAAAATACTAACAAGTCCCTGAAAGTTTCTACCAAACAACCCCCAACTTTCCCATGTTTGACATGATGGAAGACACATGTGTCTTACGTGTTCATCAAAAGGCACTGCTATTGACTTGTCTGAGGTTGTGCCCTGAGAAAGACTTCCTGGGAAGACTCTGCAGCTGTCTCCAAATGGAAAGCTTGGCCAAGTGGAGGCTGGATAGAACCTTGCTGGGGGTTGGAGAATAGCTTCCTGCGCAGTGCAGGGGGCTGCCCTAGATGACCTCCAAGATTCTTTCCAACTCGGGTTCCATAGATGACAGCTTCCCCTTTACTATGTGATTCAAGATTATGAAACAATGAAATTAATCTCTTCACTAACCTATAAAAATCAGTCTCATTATTTTACAACAATACCTTATAGAGAGCTAAATCAAAACCACCTTATAAAATTCACAATACTCTTTTTTCAACATTAAAAGAATGTTACAAGTGCCCTTGTATTTCATAAGAATATATTTTAAAAGATTTTAAATTCCAGGTGGTACAATACACGGTCCATTTCACAGTGAAAGATTAAAGAGAGACTAAATATGCTTTTTGGCCAGTAGATTTAGTGTTTTTATTCTTTCTCTTTTTTTTGGTGAGAGAAATGGCCAAGGCCTTTACTGTGACCTTTTCTGATACTTTCTTCAATTGGGTTAATCCTGGTCAAAAAAAAAAAACAACCCAAAAACCAAAACAGCTTTTTGCCTTCGAATCCAAGCAGAGAGCATGGTATTGCTGAAACTTAGTATGGCTGGACTTTATGCCTACAGCCTGCACATTTTTTGGTAAGCCTTTTTAAAAGGTAGATATATACTTCTTGACAGAATAATAGCATGATTCCAAGAAGTAAACCAAACCTGCTTTCTTGCATGCATCTGAAATATTTGCCCACCCCAGCGTTTGGGTGGATTGGCAGGCCAGACTGTATTGAGAAGATTCTTGAATGAAGACGTTTAATTCTGTTAACAGGAACTCTGCTAACCAGGGGGTGAGAATGGACAGAGGGAAACTTGATGGCATGGATATCTGTACTGGAATCTACCAATGTATTAACCCTAAAGCCAACCAAAAACAAAAAGAATAAAAATGTTCAAAATCACAACATATTTTATTTTGTTTGAATTTAAAGAATAAAAGTCATGTAAAGTTTGAAAAAAAAAGTTAGGACAGGAATAATGAGGGGATGTGTTGCAGCCTCCCTACGTTGGGCAGGTCCACTTGGGACTCAGGTGTATGGAAGAAGATGCATGGAGTCGTGGGATGCTTGACATGCCTTTATTCAGGAGAGTCACACAGGCCACAAGCCCATGTCCAAGTCAGCGCCCCCACTCCCTCCCTCATCCAAAGCTTCTACCCCTTAAGTACTAGCCCCAGACAAAGCAGGCTGCGGGCCAGAAAGTGAAGTAACCTAGCAAGAGCTGCGCATGTGAGCCTACTCAAGGCTACGGGGCAGTTTATTGCACTCGGGCTCAAGGCCGTGAGAACACTGCTTTATCAGACTCCTTCAAGGCTGTGAGACGCTGCTCCCTCCAATTACCCATGACTCTGGGTGAGAGAGCCAGACAGCCTCCACTTTCCCTATAGGGGAAAAGGAGCTGTGCCTAGACTATACACTGCTAGATAGTAAACACAGGTCAAGAGGTCTTAAATAGGCACCATTTAAGGTCGGTATTGAATGAACCGACCAATGGCTTTTCCAAAGAACTGAGATAAAATTAGCCTGAATGTATTCATTATTTTCCTTAAAAGGTACCACATGCAAATTAAAACAAAAAATGAAATATTACTTAATATCTATTTTATGAGCAGAACTGTAAATTATAAAACTCAGCACTGCTGACACTTCAGGCTAAGAGTTGGTAAACTCTGGCAGTGGGTCTAATACGGCCCAAGGCCTTTTCTCTGTATGAGCTGAGCTCAGAATGGATTTTATGTTTTTAAGTGGTTACACGTTAGATCTAAGTACCTATATAACATCTTTGATTATGTCACTAAGCCTATGTAGCCTAAAATATGTACTATCTGTCCCATTAAGAAAAAGATGTATTCATTGTTGGTAGCAAACTGTTAACAAGTCAAGAAATAAATTTTTATATGTAATCATTGGGCCAGTTATTCTTCTAGGAATTTGTTATAACAAAACAATCCAGCCAATTTTAACTCATTTTTTTCTTCAGTACAATTCTGTCAAAGATGGTGTATTTGTTATCTACTGTTGTGACTCAGATTATTCCAACATTTAGCAGCTTAAAACAATAGTAAACATTTATTATCTGATACAGTCTCTATGGGAGGAATTTGGGAGTGGTTTGGTTGGCTGGTTCTTTCTCAGTGTTTCTCAGCAGGGTACAGTCAAGCTATTGGCCAGGGGTGCAGTCCTCTGAAGGTGTGACTTGGCTGCACTTCCAAGATTGTGCCCTCACATGGCTATAAGCTGGAGGTAGTGGTGTGCTAGCTGGTTTAATAGCAGAACTACACTCGTAGAATGTACTAGGATGTTGGCTGATATTTTGGTTAAAATTAATTACTTCTGATCGACATGGCAGCATAGGTAAACATGGGTCACCACATTGCACAACCACATCAAAATTACAACCAAAATATAGACCAACCATCACTCAGAACTGCCAGTAATCAAGATGAATGGAAGTCTGACAACTACAGAATTAAAGAAACCACATCCATCCAGACCAGTAGGAGAGGCGGAGATACAAAATGGACTGGTTCCACATCCACGTGAGGTGGATAAAAATTCAGGATGGAAATCTCAAAAGCAATGAGTCCCAGCCCCACACCAGGCCCCCCAGCCCAGAGTTCCAGTACCAGGAATATAAGTTCCCATAACTTCTGGCTGCAAACAGCAGTGGGGATTGAGTCAGAAACAGAAATTTCTGGAGTCCCAAGGAGTTCCTCTTAAAGAACCCACATCTGGACTTACACAGACTCACTCCCTCTGAGTTCCAGCACTAGGGTAGCAGCTTGAAAGGCACTGGTGGCATACAGGGAGTAACTGAGGCGTCTGGCATCAAGGCAAAAGCTAGGGGACAGCTTTCTCCCAGAAAGAAAGATAGGCAGAGGCCGTTGACCCTTTTCTGAACCTTGCCCCCACAGAGGCAGAGGGCTGGCAGGCAGATGCCATATCTGAGACTCATCAACTTGGCTTGCCCCACCCTGGAGATCCCCTGAGACTCTGTCCCACTCAACTTATGGGCCCACCCAAGCTGTAAACAGTGACTTTTTCCACATAAGTGTCTAGTCACATGAAGCTTTCACATGCTTTACAACTTCCTAAGTCTATCACACAAGGGACAGCTGGTCTCAGTGAGCCCCCAGCCTCTGTACTTCTTGCTAAGTGGCTTAGGCCCAGCACTAGCAGCAGCCGGACTAGATTCACAGCTTGGCTTGCCTGGGAATCTCCAAGCCCAGCATGAATAGCAGCCATCTCAGACTGCTTTATAGCCCAGACAGTATGGCTCTGGAACAAATACAGTTGGGGGCTGATTTTGACCCACACCATCCAGAATATCCCAGAGCCTGCACACCCAATGGACAGCTGCAGACCATGTCAGAACACCATCATCCTGCCCCTGCACAGCTGATCCTCCACAGAGGATGGAGATTGGTGGTCAGTGGTCACAGCCAGTCCTTGCACCTGACTAGTCTGGGTAAACCTCTTCCACTGATCTGCCAAGAGCAATCAGGCTCAACTACAAGAGGAGGTGTACTCAGCCCACACAAAGGGCACACCTTGAGTAACCAGCTTGGGTGATGGGGGAGGCTATGCCTCTGGACCCTGCAGGAAACCTACTATACTACACCATGCTACCAAGACAGGGAGTCATAACAGCTCTACCTAATACATAGAAACAAACATGGGGAGGCTGCCAAAATGAGGAGACAAACAAACATGGCCCAAATGAAAGAACAGATAAAAACTCCAGAAAAATAGCTAAATGAAGTGAAGATAAACAGTCTTTCAGATGCAGAGTTCAAAACACTTGTTATAAGGATGCTCAAGGAACTTGAAACTAGATGCTCAAGGAACTAAAAACGACCTCAACAGCATAAAAAAGACCCAGTCAGAAAAGAAGGATTCCTAACTGAAATAAAGAACAATTTACAGGGAAATAACAGTAGAGTGGATGAAGCCGAAAATCAAGTCAATGATTTGGAACATAAGGAAGCAAAAAACAACCAATCAGAACAAGAAGAAAAAAGAATAAAAGAAATGAAGATAGTGTAAGCAGCCTCTGGGATAACTTCAAGAGATTCAACATTCGCTTCATAGGGGTGCCAGAAGGAGAAAAGAACAAGACATTGGAAAGCTTTTTGAAAAAATAATGAAAAAAAAACTTCCCTGATTTGGTGAAGGAAATAGACATGCAAGCTCAGGAAGCACAGAGAATCCCAAATGAGATGGGTGCAAAGAGGCCCACTCCAAGACACGTGACAATAAAAATGCCAAAGGTTAAATATAGAATCTAAAACAGCAAGAGAAAAGCAGTTATTTACCTACAGGGGACTTCCCATAAGAGTGTCAGCTGATTTCTCAAAAGAATCTTTGCAGGCTAGAAGGGATGGGAAAAAAATATTCAGTCATGAAAAACAGGAACCTACAGCCAAGATTGCTCAACCCAGCAAAGCTATTATTTAGAATGAAAGGACAGATAAAGAGCTTCATAGACAAGAAAAAAACAAAAGGAATTCATCCTCACCAAACCATTATTATGTGAAATGTTAAAGGGACTTACTTAGGAAAAGAAGATCAAACTATGAACAATAAAATGGCAATAAATACAAATCTATCAATAATTGAACCTTAAAAGAAAAACAAATTAGGCAAACAAGAAGCACTGAGTCAGAACCATGGATATGGAGAATGTTTAAATGGTTGCCAGATGGGAAAGGGGTGTGGGGGACTGGGTGAAGAGGTGAGGGGATTAAGAAGTACAAATCAGTAGTCGCACAATAGCCATGGGGATGTAAAATACAGTATGGGAAGTGGAGTAGCCAAAGAACTGATATGTATGACCCATGGACATGAACAATAGTGTGGGGATTGCCTGAGGGAATGGAGGGGGTGCTGGGTAGAGGGAGGCAAAGGAGGGGAAATTGGGACAACTGCAACAGCATAATTAGTAAAATATAGTTTAAACAAAATAAAATAAATAAAAAATTAAAATAAAAAATAATCAGACTGCCATGGTTCTCCTCATAGGTTGCTGATACACCTTTCATTGAAGACATCTGAAGAGCAGCCAAAGAGTAAAGCTTAGTCTGACGTGCATTCAGCTACCCCTCTAGTATTCAGACTTTAAATACCAAATTTCAGCCCAGCAGATACGCATTGAACAGGCACTGCGTGCATGAGGACTGGGAGCTGAGCTGGTCAGTTTCCTGGACTGAGGTGCCATAGGGTTTCTAGACAGGTGGTCCTCTCTCAGGTATAAGCATTGCTGCTCCTGGGAGTGTGACCAGTTATGAACAGTACAGTTAGTTGTATTAATTAAGAAAGTGATGAGACCAGTGTATGAACAGACAATGGCTGTACATTCTCAGACTCATGGATTACATTCAGTTCATAGCCATTAGTCCACCAAATCTCAAGTAGGATAGTTAAAAAGAAAACCATTTTTATGCACACCATCAAAAACAAAGAGTGGCCAGATTACTTTCAAAGGAACAATGGATGAACTTTCATCAGCAACAATAAAGACTGTGAAATAATATTTTCAGCATATTGAAGGATAATAACTTTCAATCTGGTGAAAATATTCTTCAAAAATTAGAGAAAAATAAAATCACTTCCAGACCAAAAAAACTAAGAGCGTTTGGCCTCAACATGAAAACACTAACATGTGGAGAAATCAAAATTAACCTAGAGAGGGAGGGCAGGGCCCCCCATCCCACCCCAGCACTCTCCCAGCACCTAAAACCACCCTGCTCAGGGCTCTGCTTCCCGAAGCTTCCACCTTCTTCACTTGGGACCACACCTGCTCACCAAAGCCAGACATGATCAAAGAGGAACACAGGTGCCCATGCTGGGAGCTCCCCAGGGCTCAGAAGCCATAATGTCCACCGTGGTCAACATCCAGCCTGAGACTGTCTTGCCCAACCACATTGTCTGGTCCCTGTTCAACACACTCTTCTTGAGTGTCTGCAGCCTGGGCTTCGTGGGGTTCACCTTCTCCCTGAAGTCTAGGGACTAGAAGATGGCGCATGATATGATTGGGGCCCAGAGCTACGCGTCCACTGCCAAGTGCCTGAACATCTGGGCCCTGGTCTTGGACCTTCTTGGGACCATAGGCTCCATTGTGGTTCTGGTGTTGGTGTTGCCAGGAGTCTATTATGCAATAGTGCAGGCTGTGCAGAACCACAGAGGCTACTAGTTGCCACCCATGGCTGGAAGACCACATCCTCCCCACCCTCTCCTGGCTCTGACCCCTTGACTCCCACCCCTTCATACAGCACTTTGTACTGACCCACTGTCCACAACTGAACCCAATAAAGTACACTTGTATGTGACACACAAAAAAAGAAAACACAACGTGTAGGGAATGTCTTCAATAGTGGTAACAGGGGCCCCAAAGCTGTGGCAGAAGGAAACTTATCTGAGAAATAAGAGAAAAAGCACAGAAAGTGGTAAATATGTACATGAATTTAAATGACTATTGGTTTTCTCAAATAATACTAATGTTTTATAGAATTAAAAAAGAAATATAAAAAAATTATACAACAATAGTATATAAGTTGATGATAGTGGTAGGCATGTGAGTAAAATTAAAAGTGTTCCAAGGTCTGAGTATTTTCCATGAGCCAAGTGAAGACATTAATTCACTTGAGACTTTAACAGATTACATATATTCATCTCAATATCTAGGCTGACCACTAGGATAATACAATAAGAATGTATAATTGAAGAAGAAAATAGGATGAGGAAAAAATAATACAAAAAAAGGAGAGAAAAAGCAACATAGAACTGGTAGAACTAGTAAAAAATATCAAATAAAATTATATATATAAATTTTAATATATCATAAATAATATTCTTAAATCATCTACATGGTCCAGTTAAAAGACAAATATTGCCAGACTAGGTCAAATGATACTTGTTTCCAATGCCATCCTCTGGCCTAGTGTGGTCTCCTGGATAGCTTAACTGGAGGACCCTGGCACAGCCTTCTTAGAACTGAGCCCATATCCTTGCTTCATGACACTCATTATCTTGCTGGATGAAACAGCCAAACTAAAGCAACCAAATCTTGGGAAATCATTATACGTAAAATAATAAACCTTCCTAACTGTTTAAACCAGCTTTAGAGTTACCTATTACTTATAGTCAAAAGCATTCCAACTAACACAGTGTCTTTTTTTTGGTTTTTTTACCTAGAAATTTCTTTTAAAATTATGTTTGTTTGGCATTTTTCCTATTAGCCAATATCTCTTTTATTGGAAGTACCAGTCAGAGGCTGGAGGACCATTCAGTGTGGATACTACAGAGAAGATTCAAGCAATGGACAATGTTTAGATGAACGACCTTTAAGAACACTTCCAACTCTAAGATTCTTGGAGTCCATAGGATGTATGAGAGAAACAGTGATCAGTTGCCTCTTGCACAGCCCCCTACTGGGGACTTGGCCTGCAACCCAGGCATGTGCCCAGGCCGGGAATTGAGCTCGCAGCCTTTCAGATTGCAAGATGATGCTCAATCCACTGATCCACACAAGTCAGGGCAGATTCTATAGTTTTACACTTGCTTACCGAATGAAGACGTCTTCCATAGTGGTAACAGAGGCCCTGAAGCTGGAGATGCCCAGCTCTACCTGCATCAGTTCCGAGTCAGTAAATAGAGATTCAAATCTGGAAAGGAAAAGCAGATTTATTCCTTAAAGGTGGGAAGTGAATCCCTCCTATCACCCTTGACTCTCTACAGGAGAAAAAGCATGAGCTGTGGAGTTGAAAAGATATTTGTTCAAATCTCAATTTATCATTCTAGCTTCATGATTCAGAACTTGAACAATGAGGGCAATGAACACTTACTTAAAAAGTTTCTGTAGGATAAATCTAAAACACACCTAGCACATTGCAATGCAAAGTAAATATTAATTTGTCTCTTTTCTTTTGAATAAAAAGAAATAACAATACTACTCTTGGAGTGCTTACTAAATGCCAGGGGCCATTCTAAGCTCTTTTCCGTGTATTAACCCTACAAAGTTTCCTGAAAGCTCTTTGAAGGCGGTGATGAGAGTTTAAGTAACTTTCCTGAGACCACAGCCAGAAGTAGTAGAGCTAGGCTGCAATCTCAGGCTGTCTGTCCAGAGACAGCAGTGTTGTTGTTTTTTAATGTTATGCTAAATGAAGAAAGGATCTAATTCGTAACAGTCTTCTAACCTCAAACCCTTCCTTATACATGTCTTCCTTTTTTTTTTTCAACTAAACGAATTGTGGCTTTTTGTGTAACATTAAGAAATCCATGACAATCTTCTACAGTGGAGGCTTCTATTTTTCACAACACAGTGTCCAGCCCAGTGCCTTTAAGAAGCCCCATTTACATGCTGGATACCATGAGAGGCTGCACTGTGTGTGCCTCTGCAGGTAGACAGTGGTTAGGGGCTTGTATTGTAAATTAACTGGAGCTGGGTTTGAGTCCAGACTCTGCTGTTTACTAGTTACTTCATCTCTCCAAATCTTCCCTCATGTATATGATAGTTATTACCCAGTCCACAGAGTTGTTGTAAAGATTGAGATAAATGTAAAAACACTTAGCAAAATAGCCATACTGCGTTACACGTTCAATATTCATACTTTCAATGTGTTCAGTATTTTGCTCTTACGGCAAAACTAAACTAACAGGTTAGTTTTGACTATTATTTATCTTCATATAAATGGAATCATATAGTCTCTTTTTGTATCCAGTTTCATCTATGCGACATGTTTTTAAGGTTCAACCATGCTGTTGCATGCATTAATAGCTCATTTTCATTAATTCAACGGAAGAGATATACCTCAATGTTTATTGATTTTCCTGTGATTGACATTTGGATTGTTTCCAAGTCAGGATGCTCATGAATAAAGCTACTGTAAACATTTTTTTACTTGTCCTCTGTCTGGCCATATACTTTCATTTATCTTATATAAAATAGTAGATAAAAGTGGGCTGTAAATTCTTTGCCACTTCTCCCATCAAGACGTGGAATTTATTTATTTTATTTTTTAAGTATATTTCATTGATTACACTGTTACAGTTATCCCATTTCTTCTCCCCTTTATTTCACTCCACCTGCACCCCCCTCCCACCAGCATTCCCCGCCTTAGTTCATGTCCATGGGTCATACATGTAAGTTCTTTGGCTTCTCCATTTCCTATACTATTCTTAATCTCCCCCTGCCTATTTTGTGCCTACCAATTATGCTTCTTATTCCCTGTACTTTTTGCCCCATTCTCTCCCTCCCCGTCCCCACTGATAACCTTCCATGTGATCTCCATTTCTGTTATCCTCTTCCTGTTATAGTTTTTTGTTTTGTTTTGTTTTTGTTTTCCAGGTTCAGTTTTGACAGTTGTGAGTTTGTTGTCATTTTACTGTCGATAGTTTTTTATCATCTTCTTTTTCTTAGATAAGTCCCTTTAACATTTCATATAATAAGGCCTTGGTGATGATGAACTCCTTTAATTTGACCTTATCTGGGAAGCACTTTATCTGCCCTTCCATTCTAAATGAGAGCTTTGCTGGATAGAATAATATTGGATGTAGGTCCTTTCCTTTCATGATTCTGATCTTCTTGCCAGCCCCTTCTTGCCTGCAAGGTTTCTTTTGAGAGATCAGCTGATAGTCTTATGGGAACTCCTCTGTAGGTAACTGTCTCCTTTTCTCTTGTTGCATTTAAGATTCTCTCATCTTTAATCTTGGATAGTGTAATTTGATGTGCCTTGGTGTGTGCTTCCTTGGGTCCAACTTCTTTGGGATTCTCTGAGCTTCCTGGATCTCCTGGGAGTCTCCTTTGCCAGATTGGGAAAGCTCTCCATTATTTTTTCAAAAAAGTTTTCAATTTCTTGCTCTCCCTTTTCTCCTTCTGGCACCCCTATTATTCAGATGTTGAAGTGTTTAAAGTGGTCTCAGAGGTTCCTAGGCCTCTCCTCATTTTTTTGAATTCTTGTTTCTTCATTCTGTTATGGTTGAATGTTTATCTCTTCCTTCTGCTACCAATAGTTGATTTGAGTCCTGGTTTCCTTCCTTTCACTGTCGGTTCCTGGTAAATTGTTCTTTATTTTACTTTGCATAGCCTTCACTTTTTCCTCTATTTTGTGACCATACTCAACCATTTCTGTGAGCATCCTGATTACCAGTGTTTTGAACTGTGCATCTGATAGGTTGGCTTTCTGTTCATCCCTTAGTTCTATTTTTGGAGTTTGGATCTGTTCTTTCATTTGGGCCATATTTCTTTGTCTTGGCATGCCTGTTACATTGTAAGGGGCAAAGCCTTATGTATTCACCTGGGTGACGTAATCACAACTCTGTGTTTTGACGCTGTGTAGGGTAAACGGAGGCAGTCTGGCTTCCTCACCAAGATGTCTGGGGAACTAAGTAGTGTTCTCATAGTCTTGAGACTGAGACTGATAAGTATTCCCATAGCCTTGAGTCTGGATCTGATAAACAGTTCCCATAGTCTTGAGTGGGCTTGCATGCATAGTATGAAGCTCTGTTGCATATATCTGTTGGCACCCTGCCAGCTTTGTCTATATGTTACTATACAAGGGCAAGGGCTAGGGGCTTCCCACTAGAGACCACAAAGGGAGACAGGTGACATGCAGTGTGACACCAGGGGGTCACGCAGCTTGCAGCATGTGCGGATTCACCCACCCTTGAATAAAGGCATGTCAAGCACCTCCATGGCTTAACTTTTCTTTCATCTGCCCTAGTCTTGAGTGAACCTGCCTGGCCTTGACAGGCTGCAAGACACGCTGTCTGTGGGGCAGGGGTCAGAGAGGGACCAATGCCACTTGCTCGGCTCTCGGCTGGCTTTCAGTCACTTACCCCACTACCCACAAGCAAATTGGGCCCCTCTGGTGCTGATTCCTGGGTGGGTGGGTTTGTGTATGCTCTAGGGCCCTGTGGGTCTCTCCAATGAACACTCCCTTATGGCTGGGAGTTTCACCCACTGCCACAACCCTCACAGATTTTTTCAACCAGAGTTTTTGAGGCTTTCTTTTCCCTTGCTAGAACCCTGGATTGCAGGCTGTCGTGCTCCCCAGTTGTTCCTCCTGGTTTATCTACACACAAATGTGGGGCTGCCTGGTCTGCCAGCTACCGTCTCACCTGCCAGGTCTGCAAGCCGCCACCTTGCCGTGCATCCTCTCCACCCTCACAAGTTACCTGTCTCCGTCCCTCCAACCAGTCTGGATGAATGTTTCTTCTTTCACTCCTTGGTTGTCAGACTTCCATACAGTCCGATTTTCTGGCAGTTCTGGTTGTTTTTTGTTTTTAAATTTGTTCTTGTCCTTCCTTTGGTTGTGCGAAGAGGCAAAATATATCTACTTACACTTCCATCTTGGTGGGAAGTTCCAAGGTTTTATTTATTTATTTTTAGAGAGGGGAAGGGAAGGAGAAAGAAAAGGAGAGAAATATCAATGTGTGGTTGCCTCTCACACCCTTTACTGGGGACCTGGCCTGCAACCCAGGCTTGTGCCCTGACTGGGAATCAAACCAGTGACCCTTTGGTTCTCAGGCCTCCGCTTAATCCACTGAGCCACACCAGCCAGGGTTTTATTTCTCACTCTGTTTAATTTGGGCTGGCCTTACTGATTTGCTTGATTAAGAATGCTATGGAATGAATGCTGCCTGATGTGGCTCAGTGAATTGAGCACTGGCCTGTGAACCAAAGGGTTGCTAGTTTGATTCCCAGTCAGGGCACGTGTCTGGGTTGTGGGCCAGCCCCCCACCCCCAGTAGGGGGTGCACAAGAGGCAACCATGCATTGACATTTCTCTACCTCTCTGTCTAAAAAAAAAAAAAGAAGAGAGAGAATGCTATGGAATGATGTGGTCAGAAGAAGCCTTCTGGCTCTGCTTTCCTTGGTTTGTCTGAGAGCCGCAAGTCATCTTGTAAACTGTAACTACCTTAAAATCAACATTGTACAGAGGACTTATGTAGATGTTTTCAGATCAGCAGTTCTACCTGGGCCCAGCCTTCCAGAAATCCCTAGAGGCATCAGACATAAGACTGAAGCTATCCTGGGACCTCCAGATAAGTCCTTCTTCCAGCTGATTTTTTTGTCAAAGACCTTTGTGTCTATGTTCATGAGGATTATTAAATTAAACTAGTCTGTAACTTTTTGTTATCATACTTTTTCCTGCCCTTAAAATGAGTTGGGAAGTGCTCCCATCTCTGTTTTCTAGAAGATTAGGATTTTTATTTCTTCAACATTTGACAGAACACAGAATTTTCTTTTTGAGAATGTTTGGTATTGAAAGTTAAATTTTGTTAATAGGCATATGATTATTTAGATTTTTCTCTTTTATTTTGTGTCAGTTTTGGTAAGTTGTGTTTTTCAAGGAATTGGTCTATTTAACCTAAATTGTCCAATTTACTTGGAATATATTCCTATTATCTTTTTGTAATTTTATGCTCGCTATACATAGCAGTTCTTTCATTCCTGATGTTGTTTACTTCTATTTTTTCTTTAGTGACTTTAGTATGGGTTTATAAATTTTATTAATGTTTTTAATAAACACCTTTTGGTTTTTTAAGTTTTCTCTAATTTTTTGTTTCATATTTCATTATTTTTTCTCCTTATTTTTTTGTTATTTCTCTTTTATGCACTCCAGGCTTAATTTTCTCTTTTTTTTCTACCTCCTTTAGTTGGA